TAAGTTACTGGAATTAAGACTTATTCTATGCATCTGCTCTCCCACAATATGGCGCTGGGAGAGAAGAAAACAGCTTCTACACAGCTGCCTCCAGTTCAGCCAATAAACTGTAGGACTTGCTCCTGATTGGAGGAGAGCAGTGTACTCGGCGTGTGGGCAGCCGAGTTAGGATTGGCGGAGGAGGACTATAAAGGAGGAGAGAGACGGCATGCACCAGGAACATCTAAGAGGAACATCTAAGGGGAACACCTGTGCAGCCCCCGAGAGAGCCGGCCAGCGGTGTGCCGCTCCCCCGCGGAAGTGGGGAATGTGGCAGGGGGAACCGCCCTTCCACGGAGGTGGAAGGGATGGTAGCCAACCCGGGAAGGACCAGCAGCCAACCCGGCAAGGACCAGCAGCCAACCCGGGAAGAACCAGCAGCAAACCCGGGGAGGGCCGAGCAGACGAAAGAACAGCGCAGGGTCCTGTGTTGTTCCTCCACGAAGAGGGGGAACGACATAATGGTGCCGTGACTCGGATATGAAGCCTAGGCAGGATTTAGTGTCGTTCCTCCATGAAGAGGGGGAGCGACAGTGGCCACTTAGGGAGTGAACCAGTAGGTGGAAGATTTGTGTCTGTCTCTGTCTCTCTTTCTCTTTGTCTCTCTCCCTGCTCCTTTCTCTGTGACTCTTTCAAATAAATAAATAAAACCTTGGGAAAAAAAGATGTGGAAGGGCACCTGGGCGCCGCCAGCAGCAGCGAGAGGTGCAGTGGCATTGGAAGGTGACTAGCATGATGACTGTCCCAAGAGAAAGAGGAATCATTTTGGAAAACCACAATGGGAAACTTCCAAATAGCTTACAAAGAGATGCCAGACACCCTGGGAGAAGAAGTCACGATGGGGCAGAGAAAAGGCCCCTGACCACCAGTCACTGCACGGGCTGCCATCCTGACTCCCCCAGACCCCGGGTTCCCCCGCAGACGGACCCTTCCTTTCAGCTCTGCGCTGCTCCCACCTCGAGGGGTGAACACATGGCTCTGCTTCATGGCACTCATCTCTGTGCCTCTGTTGTGCCGTGCGCCTAGCGCAGAGGCCTCCTGGCCAACAACAAAGCAACAGGTCTTCTCTGGGGGTGGGAGAGATAGGGACGACATGGGGCCCTGCCTCCTCTAACACACTTCCTTGCTTTTATTACCCTGGAGCCACCAGATGGCTGCCTATTCAACTCTGTTCTCTAAACAACTCCACCCTTTCAGGTTCATAAACACTTGGGCTTCTGATCACTTCAAGCCAGACAGTCCCTAATGGTGACACCACGCACAAGCTTTTTCATCATGCCCTCTGTGAAGAGCTGGGATGAACCCATCAATTCCTCACCAAACAATGAGAACAAAGAGAACTGGACAAAGTCAAAGACGCAATCGTGAAATGCGTGAGCACGGAGCACAAGCCACAGTGGGCACGCCGGAAACACATCCAGGATGTGCACAAGCCCACGTCGCCTGTCTTGAAGATGCACGTTCACAGACACAAACCCGGGGGACCCATGAGAGCGATGCAGAGCAGCGGGGCCCTGGAGCCTCAGGCTTTGTGGGCGTGAGCGCCCATCGGAGAGCTGCGTGCACAGTGCCTTGAGACTCGCAGGCAGAGCTCAGTCAACTGCCCCCCAGCAGCAGGGTCACACGGCCCACAGAGGCCCCTTCCAGTTCTAAAGCTCCGTGGGAACTCCATTCCAGCGAATGTTCAGGGTGGAAGGATGTTCAAGTACCACATCTGCTCGGCCAAGCAACTTAATACAGTTCTCCTCATCACAAGTTCACAACCCACTGCTGTTTCTTGGGTAAAATTCAGAAACACACATAGCAACTGACAGCGTTTCAAAAATACTGCATCTCAGGCGTCACTCTCTGTGCTGTTTTTCTGAAGTCTTGTTTGGTCAAGGGCAGCATCTAGCCCCGCGTCCCCTCCCGACAAAATGCTGTTTCAGGTTTGTGTCTCCGCCCCGTGCGCTCACATCTGCGAGGCGAGGAAGCAGCAGAAAGGACTGTGGGGACTCTGAGTCCGCACAGCTGCCGCCACCTCTCTGAGCGACCGGAAGAGGCTCGGCGGCAAGCCACCTGCCGGGCAGCTCGTCACAGGTTCTCGGTGACTTGGGACAAAGACCTGCTTATGTAGTCTGGTGACAATGAACAAGGAGCCGATGCTTATCACGGGCTCCCCATGTGCCCCGCACTGGCCCGAGGGCAACCCCGTTCTACACATGAGGGCACTGAGGTGACAGAGGTCACATTCCCAAGGTCACAGCTAGCACGTGGGGAAGCTAAGGTCTGAGTCCACACTCTCACTACCAGCTGCTGCTCTGGGAAGCTATCTGAGATTCACTAAACATTAGCCAAATATCTTCTTATGCTTTTTAAAAATCCACAAAGTAAAGGCTTATGCTGCATTTCAATCTGTTAGCTTGATTATTCTATGTGTCTATACTGTCTTTCCCTTCATACTACTGTTTTAAATTCATTTTTTCTGCCTTTAAGTCAGCTAAAGAATAATAGAAAGGCAATGCAGTGAAAGTGAAGAGACTCACACTTCTCTTGGCTTTCCCATGAACTTACTGTGCGGACTCGGGCAGGCCTCAGTCTCCTCGTGTTCCTCTCTTTAACTAAAACAGGCAGTGTGTGTCAAGTGTCCTCTGACAAGCTCAAAGATGCTGCCTGTTGAGCTACGGATGGCTGGGCCGGCTCCAGGCGGCAGCTCCCCCGGCACGTCCTGGCTGGTCACCAGTGTGAGGTGTCACGGCCACATGCTTGAGCTGGCCAGGACCCAGCGTGTATTTGTAAAGGAGGACAGAAAAGCTTACGTACAGTCAAGTGCTCTCAAGTAATATTAAACAAAAGCACCCCTTGTTCCTTCTAATTTCCGCTTGACACGTGCGTCTCAGGTTTGCAGAGAACAAGAAAGACGAACGCGTCTGCCTGTCGTGCGTGGCTCTGCTGTGCTGTGGGGGCTCCCGGTTCATCATGAAGTCACCCATTTTATAGAAATCAGATACGCTTCCGTGCTGAGCTGTGTTCTCAGGCAGCAGACGCCTGCTAAGTCAAGTCGGTATTTGTCAGCGTCCTAAAGTTATGGTGGTGTTTTACTGTAAGGACTTCAAGAACAAAGCAGTGGGAGGAGGTCCTCATTTATCATATGTATGCAATGACCCTAATTTTTTAAGGGAAAGTTAAGATGTGGCTATTACAAAAAATGCCATTTTTAAGAAATATTTCTTTTCAATCTGCCACGCAAACTCATGGAGACCAACACTGATGAATCACCTGTTTCGTGATTCCCGCCCTGAGCAGTGCTTACCCATCTTACTTATTCATTTGCATACGCAGTGACTTACTGAGGTGCTGCGCAGGTAAGGAACTGAAGGCACAAAATCCCAGCCTCGTAAGACCGAGCCTGTGACCTTGTTCCGCCCCATGTTTCAGACAGTACTCAAGAGCTGGTCACCTCAGTGACAACCGGGGTCGCAGTGAGCGTCACATGTCTTGCAGAGAATGAGAGCTGATTTGTAACTTGTTCTCGAAGAATGCAGCCCCTGCCTCTGTCCCTCTGCTCTCCTTTGCAATTCAACTCTGCCTTCCAAGCCACCCTTGCAAAGGCAGCTTTATGGCTTTGGAGGAATGAGCCGATTTCACAGCCAGTTTTGCCACTGCTGTGGAAAAGAGAGTGCACATGCGAGCTGACTGACGTCACAGCAGCTGCAATTGGAAACAGCTTTTCCCGAGGACAGCGTGAGAGGCCGGGGCTTCCTGTCCAAGCTCTCTGAGCTGCTGAGCTCCTAATCAGGCCTGGCGTGACTCCTGAGAGATCAGAAATTGGAAAATCCCACTGAAGGCAGCACGGGTGCCTCCTGTTTTCCAGGCAGCCCTCGCCTTGGATCACGTCCAGGCCTGTCATTACTGTCACTCACCGAGGAGGAAGGAACAGCTTCCCCCAGGGCCAGGATCCCCAGGAAGCCCTGAGCCCCTGCAGCGACAGGCGCCAGGCGCACCAGGGCCCCGCCCTCCTGCCAGCTGAGGATGTGGGAACTGTCCAGCGGCTCAACCTCCTCAGCTCAGTGACTTCACCTCTTATCAGTCATTTGGATGTAAAATAACTTTTTCAGAGATGATAGAAAACACTAGTTTGAATTTCTATGAACTAGAACCTGATTTAATGAAAGCCTTCTTCTTGGTACTCCAACTTTAAGGGAGAGAGTCAACTCTCAATATAGCAAGCTCACATCAGCACTTCAGTTTAAAAGAGAAAGGTCAGAATTTGGTCTCCTTTAAAATCAATCCAGATGCAGCCGGATTTCTTGATCGAGGAGCCAAGCGGGAACCCAGAGGTCAGCCTCACAACACCCATTTAATCTGCCAGCTCTTCAGCGATCTTTGAGACACACTTGCTACAGCGGAAAATGAATTAATCAGAGCTGATCAGACTACTTAGCAGAACACCTGCCACAGCCGGGTCACCACCCCAGGAGAAGTGGCGCCGTGTCACACACAGCGGCAGCACTGACAGCGGGCCCGCACGCCCCTCCCCTGGAGAGGTACACGGCTTCAAGGAAACAAGGAGAGGCACCTGATGTTGAAACTTGCCTTAAAGGCCGAACACAAGCGCTACTGCTCCACAAAGCCTTCCACACCCCCCGGGCCACTTTCTCCTCAATCACTTCTCTGTCGCAAGCCTGCAGAACCTCTGTCTGGCACGGGCGTGGTCCGCGATCTGCCTGTTAACTGCCAGTCAGTGAGCACCCCTGACAACCGCCCACAGGGTGGGCTGTTCCCCCAAGTCCACGCCTGCATCCTACACGTGTCTGTTGTGGAAGCACCGTGGAAAACCAGACTCCACACCAGAACCTCGCACTGCCTCACTGTGCCATCATCGGGGGAGGATGCTTCCTGGTGAGAACGAGGATGCAGGAGAGCCCCACACGGCCTGCGTCTCACTCTGCGCGTGCAGGGCGGTGGCGGGCGGGCCTCACCTTCGTGAATATGCATCTCCTGAGCATCTTCAGGATGAAGTAGCCCCAGTAGAGGTGAAGGCCCTGCAGGAGCACGAGCTGCAGGTTGAGGAAGACGTAGGAGAAGAAAGGCTTGAGGTAGTGCATGGGGATGACCAGCGTGCAATACAGGATCCTGGAAGCACAAACAGCAGGATCGTCTCAGAGCCAAAGCACTCGCAAACTGCCAATGAGAAACACGTATTTCCTCCCCCAAAGCATACAACAGGTATTTCATTTACTAATGAGACAGAAAATATCCAGGAAATTCACACGATAAAAAAATAGGGTAGTATTGTCTTTAATCACATCACTGGCAACACCAGAAGGGTTTCAGAACTGCTAATTTAAAAAGAAGACCATTCATTTTGCACTCTTTGCAATGCCCTGACGGTTTCCCCATGTCTACTGAGTAGTCCTTTTCCCTCTTGTGAGATATGGGTCCCAATTCTCTGTTTATTTGACAAACAATGATAAGAATCTATACAGTTAAATATATCAGCCATTCATCCATTTTGTTTACGCAAATATTGGCCATTTACTTTTCAATGCAAAATGTAGTAATGTCATAGATTGTTAGAAACTTAGGAATTATATAACAAACATAAAGAGGCTAAGCAAAAGTCGCCTAAAATCTCACCCCTCACAGGTAACCCCGCATGCTCCAGTGAACATAATTGAAGACATCGCCCCTAAAAATATCTTCCTTAACGTGTGTTTGCCCCTCGTCACCACAGAAGTGTACCTAACAGGAATCACGCTATGTTCCAGGGAGTGTCCCGTGCCCATGGATGCAGGCGGACTTCAGCGCGTTGTGCAGGGCCAGGTCACGGGTCACAGCCTCCTCTGTCACCACAGCATGGCCAGCAGTGACCACCCCGTAAGTTCACTTACGTATAGACAGCACACAAATTAACGCGTGTGGCTGAGTTCCAGCAACTGTGGTAACAAACCCAGGCGGCGGGCGGAGTCGGCCTGAGAGGCACAGTCTGCCAACCCCACTCCGCATCACCCGCTGAGTGGCTGCACGGAAATCCACTCTACAGATATATCAGAATTTAACGGACTCCTCACTGAGAAATTTCAGCTGTACCAAAAGTTTCATTCTAAAGAACACTGCAGTATTTACAAAAACACGTAGATAAAACTGTGTGATTGTCCACTAAGAGCAGCTAGAACCCAGAATCAAAGAGGAACCTCACTTTCCATTTTTGGAATATTCCGCTATATTAACTTCTAATGAGATGCATCAACTTCTGTCCTTGCACCCTCTATATGAGAACATACTGGCTCCCTCAGATCTCAACCAATACTGTATTTTGTCAGTCTCTACCTAAAATAGCATTGCACTACTTATATTTACACTTTTTAAATTTTTAAAATTTATTTTTATTTATTTGAAAGGCAGTTAGAGAGAGAGAGAGGGAGAGGCAGAGAGGGAAGATCTTCTAACTGCTGGTTCACTTCCCAAATGTCCCCAACAGCCAGGGCTGGGCCAGACCAAAGCCAGGAGCCAGGAGCTCCCTCCGGCTCACCTACATAGGTGCAGGGGCTCAAGAACTTGGGGCACCCTCACTGCTTTCCCAAGCACATTAGCAGGGAGCTGGATCAGAGTGAAGCAGCCAGGAACTGGCACCCATATGGAATGCTGGCATCGCAGGTGGCAGCCTACCTACTATACCACAATGCCAGCCCCTGCATTTTTTATTTCTTATAAAGAGATTATGTAAACATATGCCTTAATATAGTTCATTTTTATTTCTTCTTTTGTGAACTGTTTGCTCACTGTATTTGTCCATTTTTTACTGATTCATTTACCTTTTCTGTTGATCCATAAGTATCCTTTGTATATTAAGAATCAACACTATTTCAAAATTATATTAACGATCACTACACAATCTGATACTTCCTTTCAACCTTGAAATAAAATCTATCAATTGTTTCCTTCGTAGGGAGCTTACACACTATGCTTTAGAGGACTTCTTTTGGGGTGGGCATTTGGTTTGGTGGCTAAGCCCCCATTTGGAAGGTCACCCACATCCTGTATTGCAGCGTCTGGAGTCAGCTTCCTGCTAACACACAGCCTGGGAGGCAGCAGTGATGACTCAAGAGCTTGGTCCCTGCCACTCACGTGGGAGAAAGGGACTGAGCTCCTGGCTCCCAAGTTCAGCCTGGCCCAGCCCTAGAGGTTTCAGGCACTGGGGAGTGAAACAGTGGATGGCAGCTCTCTGTGTTTTTCTGCCTCCCCAGTAAATACACCAAATAAAAAAAAAAAAACTTAAGTCCTTTTATCCCCCATCATAAAATACATTTTCTCATATTTTCTTAAAATCCTGGCTCTACTATTCACAGACTGTGTAGCTGTGTGGCACTTCTTGGTGCCTGTTCTCACTTGTACAGTGGAAGAAGAGCACCCATCTCTCTCACCGCACACACTTCCTGAACACCTACCAAAGTGCGCCCTGAAACTGGGAAGGAGTCTGGAATACAGTAAAGAATAAAAGGGCTCAGAACCCTTGAAGTAGCAGCATGTACATCTGGTGCCCAAGCTCACGGGTGACGCCTGGCGGCTGCTCTGACCCTCACGGGTGACGCCTGGCGGCTGCTCTGTCCCTCACGGGTGACCTGACTGCTCGGACCCTCACGGCTGACACAGGTTCCTGCTGCTCTGACAATCATGGGTGACACAGGTTGCTGCTGTTCTGCCCCTCACAGGTGACACCTGGCTGCTCTGACCCTCATGGGTGACGCCTGGCGGCTGCTCTGACCCTCACGGGTGACACCTGACTGCTCTGACCTTCACAGGTGACACCTGACTGCTCTGACCCTCACGGGTGACACCTGACTGCTCTGACCTTCACAGGTGACACCTGACTGCTCTGACCCTCATGGTGACACCTGGCGGCTGCTCTGACCCTCACGGGTGACACTGGCTGCTGCTCTGACCCTCACGGGTGACACCTGACTGCTCTGACCCTCACGGGTGACACCTGACTGCTCTGACCCTCACGGGTGACACTGGCTGCTGCTCTGACCCTCACGGGTGACACCTGACTGCTCTGACCCTCACGGGTGACACCTGGCTGTTCTGACCCTCACGGGTGACACCTGACTGCTCTGACCCTCACGAGTGACGCCTGACAGCTCTGACCCTCACAGGTGACACAGGCTGCTGCTATTCTGACCCTCACGGGTGACGCGTGGCTGCTGATACGGTTTTCCATGTCCTTTGGCAATGTGCCCTCTCCCGTACTCTCTCAGCATAATGACCTTCCCACTTCCTACTGGAACGCTTGTCATCCACCAAAGCAAGGGCACTGCTACCACAAAGGCCCCGTGCTATTGGGTCACCCCTGAATTCCTACCTTTCTTCGAGACTTCTGCTCCAATTGCTCTGGGGTGTTTGGCCTGACATCCTACCTGGCACAACGGTTGCACCTGTGTGAACTGGCCCCTCACTAGCAGTTATGCTGCCAAGGGCAATGTCGACGACCCCCAGTCATCTCCATGTCCTCCCTTACCCAGCCCGACTTGCCCCTCACGAGGTCCCTTGTTGGAGACTTGCCAATGTCAAAATTGACAGAAGACACACTCAGAAACACCTCCTTTCACGGTCTACCAGAGAACATGTGCAGTGAGCAACACGTGCTGCTGCTCGCTCAGGCCACGGGAGGACAGCGAAGCACGGGGCTCTCTGCAGGGCTGACCCAACGGCGACGGCCCCGCTCCCGCAAGCCGAAGGGAAGGCAGAACAGAGTGGCTTCTGGTGGGAGGGGTTTGCATGCCAGGTGCAGAAGCCCTCTTGGGGCTTTTCTGGCGGGAGATGCCCTGACAAATTCTAGGAGCTGGAAGACCACCAGTGTGGCTTAAGTGGAGGAGTGGCAGGGAAGGGCAGTGAACGAGGAGCCATGAGCGTGAAAGCCGTCTCAGGTGGGCTTCCACATGAAGGTCGGGGCCTGGCCTTCATTTTAAGAGCAAGGGCTGGAGGCAGCGCAATGGCGTAGCAGGTAAAGCCACCGCTTTCAGTGCTGGCATCCCATGTGGACTCCGGTTGTAGAGCCGGCTGCCCCACTTCCGATCCAGCTCTCTGCTATGGCCTGGGAAAGCAGCAGAAGATGGTCCACATCCTTGGGACCCTGCACCCATGTGGGAAGACCTGGAGGAAGCTCTTGGCTCCTGGCTTCAGATCAGTCCAGCTCCAGCCATTGCGGCCAATTGGGGAGTGAACCAGAGGATGGAAGACCTCTCTCTCTCTCTCTCTCTGCATCTCCTTCTCTCTCTATGTAACTCTGACTTTCAAATAAATAAATACTTTTAAAAAAAAGTGAGAGAGAGCAACAGGGAGCTTTGCCTGTCTTCACAGGGAAGCCTTGTACTGGGTGCAGAGTCAGAGCCGAGTGCTAAGCCTGACACCACTAGCTTCTTGCCTTGAAGTTGCACAAGTCACTGTGCGTTAGTTCCTTTGTTCCTGGGTGGAACCAACCCTGGCCATCGGCCTGGGGGGCTCCACAGAAACACTCCAGCTTCATACCCCAGAGCCCTCAGAGAGCAAGGAATAGCCCTGAAGTGCGAGTGCCTCTGAGCTCACTGTGTCTCTGGGCAGAGGAGAGGCCCTGACCTGGGCTCTGGAGCTGCAAGACTTGGCTAGGCCCCTCCTTGGGATTTGCAGCAAGTTCCCTCACCTCTCAGAGCCTCAGTTTCTTCTGCGAAATGAGAAAACCCCAACCCCCCTCATCGGGGGGCTGAGAGGGCTGAGTTGATGAACACTGCGAGTGTAGCCCAGTAGGTACCCAGAAACCGGAAAGTACAACTCCTCCTCCTACTACTGCTGACCATGAGTGGCTTCCTGTCCCTAGCCCTTCCTGCTGCTAAGGACTTGGGCTGAAAACAGAGACAGCAAGAGAGATGGCAGAGTGACCAGGGCAAAGTGCTAACAGCAAAGGGCATAAAGCATGTGTGGAATTGGCCTATAAGCTTGAAATCATTCCTAAATTAATAAAGGAACTGGACTAAGTTACGAACAAGGTCTCTCATCCTAAGAGCCCGTGCTTTGAAAAAGGTGCTTGGTGTAACTGCCTGTATACCTTGGTGTAACTGTATACCTTGGTGTAACTGCCTGTACACCTTGGTGTAACT